TCTAATGTATCTCACCGTTAGTCTAACGTAACTCACCATTGTCACCATTAGTCTAACGTAACTCACCATTGTCACCATTAGTCTAATGTAACTCACCATTAGTCTAATCTCGCCATTGTCACCATTAGTCTAATGTATCTCGCCATTGTCACCATTAGTCTAATGCATCTCACCATTGTCACCATTAGTCTAATGTATCTCGCCATTGTCACCATTAGTCTAATGTATCTCACCATTATCTAATGTAACTCACCATTATCTAATGTAACTCACCATTGTTACCATTAGTCTAATGTATCTCGCCATTGTCACCATTAGTCTAATGTATCTCACCATTGTTACCATTAGTCTAATGTATCTCACCATTGTTACCATTAGTCTAATGTATCTCGCCATTGTCACCATTAGTCTAATGCATCTCACCATTGTCACCATTAGTCTAATGTATCTCGCCATTGTCACCATTAGTCTAATGTATCTCACCATTATCTAATGTAACTCACCATTATCTAATTTATCTAATGTAACTCACCATTATCTAATGTATCTCGCCATTGTCACCATTAGTCTAATGTATCTCACCATTGTTACCATTAGTCTAATGTATCTCACCATTGTTACCATTAGTCTAATGTATCTCGCCATTGTCACCATTAGTCTAATGCATCTCACCATTGTCACCATTAGTCTAATGTATCTCGCCATTGTCACCATTAGTCTAATGTATCTCACCATTATCTAATGTATCTCACCATTATCTAATGTAACTCACCATTGTTACCATTAGTCTAATGTATCTCACCATTGTTACCATTAGTCTAATGTATCTCGCCATTGTCACCATTATCTAATGTAACTCACCATTATCTAATGTAACTCACCATTAGTCTAATGTAACTCGCCATTGTCACCATTAGTCTAATCTTACCATTGTCACCATTAGTCTAATGTATCTCACCATTAGTCTAATCTCACCATTGTCACCATTAGTCTAATGTAACTCACCATTGTCACCATTAGTCTTATGTATCTCACCGTTAGTCTAATGTAACTCACCATTGTCACCATTAGTCTAATGTAACTCACCATTGTCACCATTAGTCTAATGTAACTCACCATTGTCACCATTAGTCTAATGTATCTCACCATTGTCACCATTAGTCTAATGTATCTCACCATTGTCACCATTAGTCTAATGTAACTCACCATTAGTTTAATGCAACTCCCATTGGTTCATTTTCAAATATGGATGTTTATTTGTTTTTTTCTAGTCTTTAGAAGCTCGTCATTATGGAACAGTTCTTCACAATCATAATAGATATTACTTGGAAGAGTTGGTTATTGGTTTTCAACCACTCAAAAAAATGGACTGTGTGCAAAACTTGACGCCTGAAGAAATAATTGAAGCTGTAGCTATGGCTGACAAAAAAGATTCACTTGAAATTTCCATGGAAACAGAATCCATAGAAACACCTAAGAAACGTGATGATACATCATCAAAACAGCTCTTCTTTGTAGACAAGAAGGGTGAAAATGATACAAGAGAATCAATGGAAACAACAACAGCAGACACATCTGGTGACCATTCTGATGCTGCAGGTGAACTGGCTGGTAAATCAAAAGGAGATGCTGTGCACCATGTAAAACGTCATTATTTTTCAAATGAAGAGTATTCAACTTTGAAGGCTGCTTTTAATAAAAATGAAACAATTGGTAGGTGCACAACTGTTTATGTGGTTCAAGAGCTAAATTGGATTCCAAATATACGACAGAAATGCAGCTTGAGCTGTTGCTGTTCTTGAGCATTTTCTCTGGCACGCCCTGACATAACCGTTTCTTGTTTAATTCTAGGTCAAGAATTTATCAGACCATGTTTATATTGTGTTGTATGTGAGCGTTATATCTTGGAACCTGAAGACTCCAGAGATCAACACTGTCAAACAAAACGTCACTACCGAGCAGCTGAGGTAAGTCTGTACAGCATAGCTAATGATGTTTGAATGGATCCACTGTGTATATACAAATAGTTGTTGCCTGAGGTATCACTTTTGAAGGTACTTTACGCCAGAAAGTATTTGCACACTACACTACACTACACGCAGATATCTTTCAATAAAATAAACTCAATAATGGTTTGAATAAATATATTTATGTATCTAATAAAATGTGTTTTTACACACATTAAAAACAAAAATTTTGAATTCTCATGCACGATTGAATAAAAATGGCAGTCTGAACGAAACAGTGAAAAAACATTTGCATTCTCTACAGAGAATACTGTGTAAACGCAAGCTCATGAATATTCATGAAGAAATAGAACGCGGCGATTGTCAATAATGTGTGTGTCCACCTCTTCGCTGGATGACTTCTCTAAGCCATTTTGGCATGGTATCGACGAGTTTCCGACAAATGTTCACCTGGAACTGTCCCCAAGCTTCCATGATACTCGCATATAAATCCTCGATGTTAGCGACTGTTCGGGAATGCTTTGAAAATTACCATTCTTATAGTCTTGATTTTATTGTGCTCAAACTCTATCTTTTCCCAGTGAGTTGATTAAAATTGGCACGCAAATCACGGGCGATGTGAAACCTATTCGCTAAACTAGACCGGATGAGTAGCCGGTCTTTGCGTTCCGCTGTATGCCCTGGTCGACCTGATCGACGATGAGTGCTCATACTACCTCACAGACGAAGTTTCCACAGGTTGAAACGTATGGAGCCTTCAGAAATTCCCAGTTTTCTGCCATTTCCTTTATAGGAACTCCCTCTGTATACAGTGCTTCAATGTCTAAATTTGCCACACATTTTCTGAATTGTTATTGTGTAAATACTTTCTGGTGGGTCTGTATATCATTGAGGTCAGTATAAAAAACAGGAATGACTAATATATATACTTGGGACAGACATTAATCAAGCTTGCTTCACATGTATAGCATTATATTGAAGCACTAAAATGAAACTAACACAGCGGTCTAAATTTGCCACACATTTTCTGTTGGTGGGTGAGCAATTAACCAATTCTGTTTTGCAATGATATAAGTTATGTTGTACTAGTGTCATGAGAAATGGAAAATAGAATTTCATGGTCTGTCCATATTTTAATCTTATGTGCTGTGACATTATTTGGATATCGTTAGACGAATCTTCCGTAAATGCTATCTTCCATCCAAGCTAATTTTAATACTTTTTAGTATAGTTGCTAGCTGGCTGTTACATCATACATCACTATAGTTTCCTTCATTCATAGGATGCTGTAAAACCTCTGAAAACTGAAAGTAGTACACCTGGAGGAATCAGAGGACGGGGACGTGGACGTGGGCGTGGCCGTGGCCAAGGACAGACTCCGGAAGCTACCAGTTAAACAGACTTATTAATTTAACTGATCTATTTTTTGTTTTAGAATTTCTAGCATGCTTCAATAAAATAAGGTGTGAATAAAGTGGGACATTATAATAGTTTCATGAATCAGAGCAGATTTCATTTAAATAACTATTCTGTAAAAGCATAGAATGTTTTGAAATTCACTTTCTTGAGTTCTTGTGTTATGTTGAAATTATTTAACAGCCAAATTTGCTGTATGTCTAAGCTATATTAGTAAAGAAATTCTGTAATCTAGAGGTTAACAGATGATTTTATATGTAGACAATTCTAGTGCTAAATATGTGAACTTCATGCTACCTTGAGTTATTCCATAACTTCATACATTTGGGGGATCAAACTTGTAAAGTTAAATAATTCTGTGATATATAGGATATTTCATTTGATTGATGGTACACCAATGGACCCCTTTTTGTTCCAACTTCTTGTTTGGTAGCTTTTATACCTCCATCTGAGCACATTTCCGGCACAATAATCCAGTACACCCATCTGGAAAACCAATTTAATCATAGTCATGGGCTAATGAAGTCTAAGCCTTAATGTTGCAGACAACCTGTCATACATGGAATTACAAAGCACTAGGAAACCACAAAAAAAACAACTGTAACCTGTAAGAATATGAAGTTGTGTAACAGACTTTAATCCACATTTTATCATAGGATATAAGTATCAGCAGAAAGCTTATCTAGATGCTGTGCTATTTACTAAAGATTTTTATTTGTATCTGTACTAGGGATTTTAACCATGCTTTTCTGGTTACAGAATTGTTCTGACTCTGGTATTATATTGTAGTGATAGACTTGTAATAGTAATATTTCATTCAATTAACTTTACTTAGTTTTGTGGTCTTAGGAATGTAATTCATTTGAGGAACTTTGAGAAGTCAAGTTTAAGCTCAATTGCTTGAATGTTTACTCAAACTTGTTGTGGTATACATATTATGGTAGATTCTAACTAAATTTGCATGGCTGTATATTTTATTAGCGACGCTTTGTCGACTTGAGCTTATCATATAAATGATTTTCCATCATCGTCGTCATCAATTTTTTAGCTCCGCTGTCGACTTTGTCGAGCGGAGCTTATCATATTGAGTGATTGTCTGTGTCAATGTTTTACTTTTTCGACTTCTTCTTGAAAACTACAAGCCTGGATGCTTTGATACTTGGTGTATATGTACCTTGGGTAGACCTCTCTCAGATTTGTTCATTTTGTAATGATATCTTTAATTCTCTAATTTTGGTGAATATTTTTGTCATTTTTGGTAAAAAGTGATATTTTCGACTTCTTGTTAAAAACCGCAAGTCCAATTGCTTTGATATTACATATATACCGGGTGGGTACTACATGTGGACCTCTCTCAGATTTGTTCATTTTGTAATGATATCTTTAATTATCTAATTTTGGTGAATATTTTTGTCATTTTTGGTAAAAAGTGATATTTTCTTCTTGTTAAAAACCACAATCATTTATGGTGAAAAATGATATTTTTGAATTCTTGTTGAAAACAGAAAGTCCCATTGCATTGATACTATGTATATTGTTCATTTTCTAATTATATCTTCTGTTCTTTAATTGAAATGTGCATTGCTAACAGCGGAGCTATCTCAGCCGAGAGGCTGCTTGTTGACGTCTTCTTGAAAACTACAAGACTTATTGCTTTGGTACTACTTGGTGGCAGACCTTATAGATTTGTTAATTTCATGATATCTTCAATTGTCTAATTTTGATGAATATTTTTGGCATTTTTTGTAAAGTGATATTTTTGACTACTTGTTGCTCGGATACTATACATATAGGTACCTCAGGTAGACATCTCTAAGAATTGTTCATTTTCTAATGATATATTCCGTTCTGTAATTGAAATGCGCATTGCTAACAGTGAAGCTATTTCAGCTGACATGCTGTTTGTTTTTTATCATTGTAATCCTATAATCACAAATGAGTAAACAAAATCCATCTTTTGACCATTACTTGTACCCGTACTTCTTTGCTGAAGAGATGTGCAATAACTTTAAAACAATGTGCTGTATAGAAAGATTGATTGTCTCGTGTTTTATCAATTCTTATCAGGATGGAGTCAAAAAATTGATTTTGATCACTATTGTATGGATTTACCCATACCATATAAAAATTAAATACCTAGTCATACAGAGTTATGACCTACCATTATATGTGTACCACTCACAAATTCATTTAAACATTCAGATGAAATATTAGCCTGAATTTAAATGTCCATGCAATTTTTAGTGTTTCTGTGCATATGTTTTGCTAAGAAAATAAAGTACTTCCAAGAATTCAACGCAAAGCACTATTTTTTGACTCTCATGTGCGAAGCGCAAAAGCAGGGGGTACCAATGAAAGTGTAGCTTTTTAATGAAAATCACAGCTTTGACACCGTGCAGCATAGCTTGGTCAGGAAAAACTTAGCTGCAGGAATGAAATCCGCTAGTTTTGACATCGAGAACTCAAGCTTTGAACATATTTTGATGTTGAAGGCGTGAACAACATGGCTGCCTCCAAAAGCAGTGTTAGCGACGGTAAGTATTTTACCCGTTTTCTCAACAAAATCAACAAGTTATGCTGTGTAATATGCCGCAATCAGTGAGGTTCAGGTTCAATTTCATATCTAGAAAGTTTCAGCCACCATTTTACATTTTACGAAACTTGCAGAGAAATCTCAATTCCAATTTTCGAAGCAAACAGGCTAGCAGGACGTCCTATTCATGTAATGTTGTACATGGCCGTTGTTCATGTATCTGATATACAGTCCGTCCGACTTAAAGTTGACTGACTTAATGCTCTGATTTTTTTTTTATTCCATGCCAACTTTGCATGTATTTCAGTACATTTGTATTATTTTTTACTATTCCAGTGTTCAGACTATGAAAAGGGACAGGGGTGTGTTTCATGTTACTTAGGGACGACGTCAAAAGATCGATGTCGGATAAAAAACTTAATTGCTTTAGTTTTTTTCCAAACCCCCTACCCCCTGCTGAAACTTAATTGATAAATATTGGTCATGGCGTCAGACTACATTCACCATTAAATACAAATTGATAATCGGACAGTAGTATTGCATAGCAGTTGGTTGTCGGGTGGGTGTAACAAGATTTTACAAATGCACCTCATTTGACGCACAGATT